AAAAAATAAAAAAAAGAAAAAAGCCCATGATCCACCCCCCTTTTTTTTTTCCTTTTTTTTTTTTTTTTTTAGAAACGCGGTTTGAAAAAAAAAATCATGTCAATTTGTAATTATTTCATTGCTAAACACTGAAGTCAATGTATGGGAATTCTCGAAGAGTGCAATGAGGAGGATATGACTTGACTCTACCATGGCAAGGGGTAAGAGGAAAGGTAAGATTCCTGCATATTATTATGATTATGATGATCATTAACTAATATGTGTCATTACGGTGCACTAGGATCCCATTAGGGTGGCTGGGCCCAGTGCGTTTTCCTACTCGGTCTAGCATGTAATGATTCGGTGTAACCGGATTCTTGAGAAAGGACAGGTTACGTAAACATTTACTGATGTGGAGTAACTATACTATTTGTACTCTGATATGCAGGAAGGAAAGTGTTGATTAACACAGAAGAAAAAAAAAGCGAAATTAGCTGATTGCATGCTCATAAGTGCAAGCTGTCATTGAACTGCTTTTAAAATAGACACAGCTGGGTGTTTGTGTTGAAAAATTTCTTGTGTTTTTGCTAATACTGAAATAAGCATGATTTTGTATACCAAACATTTTCAGATCATTAAAATTTGTAATCTGTGCTGGTTTTAAACACAAAGAAAAGAAACAGATTCATTTCGCTGTAAAATTTGCTGATATTATATTAACTCAATCAGGTCTGTACAAATGGTGTATTGTGCCTTATCAAATCTCTTTGATCCATTTAATACACAAAGTGCCAAACGTGTGTATTGTTTGTTAACATTGAACGTTTTATTCAAATCCCAGCTCTGCAGCGAACTGGAGGAGTTCTCGTTTAATGTAACACTGACATTGCCTGTTGAAATTTTAATGCGTTGAGGTGTTTCTTAGGTCAAAGCTGAGTTTACTTTGCGTTGTGATCAGGGATGACAATGTAGCAGGGAAGAAAATAAGCGTTTCATCTTTTTGGGTTTCTGAGCAAAGGGCAAACACCGAAAGGAGCAGGCTTTTAAAACGTTTGGTGATGTAGATTTAACATTCAGTCATTTGTCATGGCTGCAGAATAAAGCTCTGTGCACAAACTTAGGATTTATATTATAATTTTTTTTAATGCCGTGAATTTACACTTCTACCAAAAAAGGAAATGTTGCGTCCAATATGTAGTACGTATCTTTCTAAGCCCATGAAGATTAATTCAGTGTTTACAGGACAGAAAAGGGTATGTAAGAGAAGCCACATCAATTATTATTTCTGCTGGACTTCAACTTTCGAGTCCTTCTGTTTTGCTTTTGTTCCTCCGCAGAAAATTCTCCCGTTTATACAACTGGAGAGATTTACTTTGGAGATGCGGGAGTCTTGCTCCAAAGCCACTTGTCCCCTGAGCTCTGGCCTGGCCACCACTCCCGGGCACTTCAGGGGCAGCTTTGTGCGCCGCAGCCCTGCCTGGGCGGCCGGTTTGACCCCTCAGCTCTGGCCAAACTCTTGTGAGAGGGTCCCTCACAGCGTTTTCCACCAGGGGAAGTTATTGTGGGGTGTCTGGAGAAGAAGCTTGAGCTGTGGAACGGCAGCGCACGGCCTCAACCCCGCGAAGCACGGGTGGGTGTGGAGAAGGGACTCGGCGGAGTGTGAGTGCTCCCTCACCTGAGCTCGGTGCGGAGCGGGCCCGCGGCGCTGAGCGGTGGGGATGGGCTGGGAGGGTCCAGCCTCGCCGTCGGGATGGGGCTGAATAACTGAGCTGAAAGGCTCTGGCTGAAGCGCCCTTCAGCAGTGATCTCCCTGCAGTTCTTGGGTCTAACTCGCAGGGATAGTATTTCAACCGCATGCTTTCCTCCCCTCTGATTTTATTTTATTTTACTTATTTATTTAAATTAAAGGCCGAAGGCAAAACAGACCGGCTTCACTGTAAACTCAATAGATAGAGAGAACCCCCGCCACCCCCCGTCCTTCAGTCCCCCTTCACACGGGTATAGCGGCTCTGTACTCTCGGGCTCTTTCAAGGGGTTAAGCTGCTAAAATGTACTGACAGCTTAAGAAATGAATGAGGGGTTTTTCAGCCATGAAGAAAGGGTATTTAATAACCACGCTTCGATGGCATCATGCTTCCATGAAACGAGTCGGGACACTTCGATTTAACAACCAGTAATATCACATTCGGGACAGTAAACGCCTGGATGTATGCATCTATAATTCTATTCCCCCTTGACTCTAAGCTCGCCTTGTTTGTTCGGGGTTACCTGGGCAATTAAGGTAAGGGCTGCTCAGCAGACACCGATACCCCGCTGCTCAGGCATGGCGAGTGGGGACGGGGCCGGGCGCTAACAAAGAGAAAGAGGTAGTCAAACATTTTAAAGAGCAGTGAATGGGACTGGAGGTGGATGGATGGATGGATGGATGGATGGATGGATGGGTGAATGGAGGCAAAGAGGGCGAGGAAGAAGTATTCAGTGGTCCACCCTTCCGTCCGCATTTCAGGATTTAAGCTTAGGTGTCCGTCTCTAGCCAACTTCCACTTAATCCTCAACAGCTGGTAGCGGTGCTAACGTTTGGTGATTAGAAGTTAGTCTGTTTAGCGTGCTGGATCCTTCTTCCATGGGTTTTGGTTACAGGTTATACGATTAGGATTGCGAGAACAGTAGTGAACTAAACTTCCCAGTGAGAGGTCTTCACACCAGGGAAGTGTTACTTTGCTGCAGCAGCCCTGCCTCGTCAGTCATTAGGAAGCTGCAGGTTGTCAGAGGCTTCTCTTGCGCGCACACACGCGCAGACACACACGCGCACACACAAAACCACAGCACTAAAACTAAATTAAGAAGCCGATGATTAAGACAAGCGTCTACGAGGCCTGTCATTTCAGCATCCTTCCATCATAACATTGTGGCACCGAGAAATTTGCTTGAAAACCCTGGAAAAAATGTCTATGGGAGAGCCTCGTGTTTGAGATAGCATAAATGTTAACATCAAATATAGACTGGGAACCGCCTCGGATGCAAGATAGTGTTCCGCAGAGGAAAGGAGCACTGCAGGGACCTTTGGGCTGTCCGCGCGCTCCCCAAACTCTGGTAAGTATCTCTGCCTTCTACCGCAGCAGGTCCCCAGGCACCGTGCGACTGGGACCGGACCGGGTTTGAAATCCGCAGCTCTGTTCCCGTCGGAGACTTCGGGGAACTCCCCCTAAAGATAGATCTGTAATGAAAAGTCCCTACTGGATGACTAATGGTTATTGGCACTCGGTGCCCCTTTAAGGAGAGCAGCACATATTGTGCCGAAGACCTTGCAAGCACCCTTTAAATACAAACATTTTAAGTCCCCCTCCCATGCTTCCCCCACCCCTGTTGTTTTCGGGCTCGTTGTGTTGT